TAAAAGCCAATAACGTAACAACGGCCGATAACGTAATAGATTTGCACTTTTTAAATTGTAATAGGCCAATGACGTAATAACTGGCCAATGACATAATAAAAGTCCTGAACCGATAACGTAATAACTTATTACGTTATTGGTTGGTTATTACATTTGAAAAGATTTTTTATTGTTTTTTACCAGGCCGATAACATAATAACTTATTATGTTATGAGCCAAAAGATGTTACGTTATCGGTTCAGGACTTTTATTACGTTATTGGCCAGTCATTATGTTATTGGCCTATTACATTTTAAAAAGTGCAAATCTCTTATGTTATCAGCCGTTATTATGTTATCGGCTGTTATTACGTTATTGGCTTCTACAAATGTCAAAAAAAATCTAAAAAACATTTTCCCAAATTTCGATTTGAGGTCTTTAGAGGTCTTGTTTTGCCTTACTTACTTAAAACTATCTGATGTAAAACATGTAGAAAAGCAGCACATCCTCACGATTGAGCATCTTGAACCAGCGAATATTTAACAAATGTTTTGCTCAAAGAACAGAATAAACAACAATCACCTATCAAAATTGTTAGATAGGCTACAGATTGATTTTCTGTCAAACCAATTAATCCACTAAATGCTGCAGCTCTACTATTAACAAGACACAGTGAGATGCTTTTCAGAGATAATGGAGTAATGAGTCATTGTCTTGTCCAACCAATATCTTGTGACAAAACAACCTGCTGCGACAGCAAGGTACTCAAATTTACCTCGAGATAAAAAAGACAATAAATTGCGAGATAAAATTAGATTCTTCTGGGCTTTTTTTTTGTTTATTTCGGGTGATGCATCATTATGTAACCCATCAATGTAGAACTCACATGAAAGACTAAAAGGTTTCGTCTGTTCCGTCATTACATCGCTCATTTTATTGATTGGTGTCATCATGTTTTATTGCGTCTGGAACGTGCCGTACTCCAAAGTGCTGGGACTCTCCATCAGTGTCTATGCAAGAGGCAGATGTGTAAGAGAAAGTGGTCGTCAGTAGTGGGCTGTTGGACTGATATTTATAGTGCTGATTTAGCCTGAGGTGTCCCTAAGGAGTGTTTGTCCTTTCTCCCGCTCAGACAGACCTTAACTGTAATAGTTTGATTCATGGCGGCATTAAAAGGTCTACTGTGCTACAGTGCCGAGCGTCACCGCGAGTGGTGGATCCCAGAAGAGGCGGCACATGAAACTGACACATTTAGACAGACTTGGTTGATGAGGAGGATTATGGCAGCAGGTTTTATTCGATGTGGTTTTATTTATTTACTTCATTTGAGAGCGACACCAGGGATCTTTCTGCGTGGAGTTTGGTGGAGTCTCCGGCTTCCTCCCACAAGGTCCAAAAACATGTTGAGGTTAATTGGTGATTCTAAATTGTCTGTAGGTGTGAATGTGAGTGTGTTTGGTTGTCTGTCTCTAAGTGTAGCCCTGTGATAGACTGGTGACCTGTCCAGGGTGTCTCCTTCCATCACCCTAAGTCAGCTGGGATAGACTCCAGTAACTTCCAGGGATCCCCGGGACTCACCGCTGACCACATTTACACCCGTTGTGGTCTGTGCCCGAACCAATCAGCTCTCCCTGGAGAAGCTCTCTCACTTCTTACTGTATTTCTTTTTAAAGACATATTGACATCTAACCACGTCCCGCTGCTGATGTGAAGAATCTCATTTTCAAAGGAGATGTAGAAGGTCATCCGCTATCAAAAGAGCAAAGTCATGGAACAAACCTTTTTTTGAAATCTTGACACAGAAAAGCAGACGGCCTCTCACTGAGTCTGCCACAAGATCCTTCATTAAAGGGGTAAACTCGCCAAGAGGGACCGGCTCATTCAGCTTTAAATTATTCTGCAGTGAGATCAATGAATGTGAGCAGAGTGCAGGAAGTCGCTTTGGTTTAATTCAGCGCCGATCTCAAGGTGAAATAACAAAACCAATTTTTATCGCTGGAACCTCCACATGAGCTGCTATAGTCTTGTGCATACCTTGAAGCTCCTAAGGAATCTGTTGACAGTTTGATGAGCAGGAAAGTGCAATGAATTGCAATATTTGCAGCAGTTCTTTATTTAGTGTGCTATCGATTTATCAGTTTGGAGCCAGTTGAAAGTCTGTAATGCTGCAGATAACACCCACAGGAAGTTCGTCTGAAGCATTTCCCAGTTGCTGCTGCTTGTTATTGCCCGTTAGGGGAACGTGCTCGCCAGTGTGAGGCAGCTGTTAGGTAATAAATACTCACTACACAGGCAACAGCTACTAGTTTGACTTTTAATGATCTAATCGCTCTGAGTGTAACGAGCGAGCTGCTACCTTTTATGACGGGATCGCTTTGAGCCACAGTTTGCTAACGAAGTTCAACTCTTCCCCATTTTCACAGAGGCGGCTCGGAGGAGGGGCCGCTCTCGGCGGAGGAACACGACCTCATTAGCAGACGGATCCGTTCACCTGGTCATTAGATTAAACAAGCTGTTGCCTCCTTTTGTTAAGCGTCTCGCAAAAGAACCAAGGTCAGGTGTCGTCACGCACAACCCAAACAGCTGTATTGAAGGTTGCAGCGTCACATCGTGCAGCGAAGAGCCGCCGGTTATTATTCGGTTTGCCGGAGAAGCTTGTGCATTTTAAGTTGTGGATTTGGCCTAAAAGGCTCTGCCACTACTGACTCAAGTCTGAAATTACAAATCTGACCTACATTAAATGCCTTTTCATTGTATTCATGTTCAGATGCTCCAAAATAGATGATTGTGTAACATTTAGTGATATTTTTACAGAGTGTTTGTACAGACTGCCTGGTTTTACATTGCCCTCTCTAGCAATTGTTTATATTTAACACAGCTAAATACAGGCACAAGCCTATTCTCTGGGGCTTCTTGAATGCCCTGTTTGGTTTTAAATGTGTAATTAAATAAGCAACATTCAAGGTTGAAGTTTGAGGGAAATTAGTTTCACACTAAATATAGTTCACTTCCTTCATCAGGACCGTGGGAGTGGTTGGACCAGCTGTTCTTGATTGACAAATAACTGCACGAATGCCATCAGATAGTTTTTATATTTCAAATTTTGTTAACCAGTGACATGAGCAATTCGACAGAGAACAGAAATACAGACTGAAGTTTCTTGTGCAAATTGGGAAAATCTGTTCAAACTCTGGGTTGCAAGGTGATTCAGTGGTTAGCACTGTTGCCTCGCAGCAAGAAGGTCACAGGTTCATGTCCCGGTGAGGACACCAGGGATCGTTCTGCGTGGAGTTTGCATGTTCTCCCCGTGTAGCGTGGGTTCTCTCCGGGTTCTCCGGCTTCCTCCCACAGTCCAAAAACATGTTGAAGTTAAGTGGTGATTCTAAATTGTCTGTAAGTGTGAATGTGAGTGTGCTTGGTTGTCTGTCTCTAAGTGTAGCCCTGTGATAGACTGGTGACCTGTCCAGGGTCTGCCTTCACCCTGAGTCAGCTGGGATAGACTCCGGCCCCCCACGACCCTAGTGAGGATTAAGCGGTGTATACATAATGGGTGGATGGATGTTCAAACTCTGGGAAAATAAAACTTTATGTTCGACTTTGTTGCTTACATTGAAAAGCCGATTGAGGAAAAACACATTTTTAGTTGTTTTAAATGCACTCTGAGATATTCAGGGCATCATTAATCCAAGTAAAAGGCTTTCAGTAATCCATGAATTTGTTTTCAAAAAAATCTGACATGAGGGTCAAAGTAGGAATGTGATGCTTATGAGGGATCAAAAATACACAGTTTTTTAGGAAATTAACTCTCTGAACTCCAAGCAGTCTCTGGGCTTTTGTTTGCGTTATCTCTCACTGTCGGCCCATTTTTTAAAGTCCTGCACCTCTATAAACAGGACAACCATGGCTAGAGGTAGAGCGAACTTAAAAAATGTCTTCTGTGCAGTTATAATGCCGTAAATTATTTTGAAAAAGAATAACAAAAGTAGATTTTTTAGAATAAGTCATTTTACAACATTTTTTTCAAGATAAAAAAATACCATTACTGGAAAAAGGGTGTAGCTGCACTGTATAACTGTCTTACTGTTTACATTTTAAATTAGTTTCCATACTTTTCTCTCTTTGTAAACAGCCTGTAGTTCAGCTGAAAAGTCCCTCAGTGTTGATCTCATGACTGTTGATTACAGTCGAGTTACTAATGTCAACTCATTTTCTACAGAATCTGATTCATCTGGCCATGATTTATGGCAAATTTGATCAATGCGACATGAAGAATAAAGCGATTTAGATTAAATATTATGATTTTTAGCTTAGATTTGGTCATTGTCCCCAGATGAGTAGTTGAAAAGCTGAAAATCCAATGATTTTTTTCCTGTTTTTACAATTTCTGCCACTGATAAATGGTGTAATTCTGGCATCTTTTTTTCAAATCCACCTGCTTGGTTTCAGGGTTCAGAGGGTTCAAGAATCCATTTAACCAAGAACCATGTCACAACCACGGAGTCGCAGCAGCCTCGCTAACGCAGAAATAGATACGGAAATGATTATAGGTAAAGTGAGAACGCCAGAAAATATAATGCAGCTGTAAAAAGGAAGATGCCAGTTACTCTGTTACTAGACATTTTTCGGCCGTCAAACCCGTGTTTCTCAGTGTCACCTCCAGCACGACGTCTCACCTGTCCCCCCGCACGGCCAAAAAAACGTCCGTCTACTCCAGAGGCGTCTCTTTGATTTACAGACCCACAAGGAGCAGGAAGAGCGCAGTCAGGAGAAAGCTAATGGAGTGGAAATGCTGAGAGGGCAGCAGGAATTTCAATGGGGCAGTATTTCTTTAAATGTGTGGTACAGGAGGGGGGAAAAGAATAAAGAGTCACATGTGTTCCTTTTGTTTTCCTCCTGAAGACATTCACTTGACATGTCTTTTTTCTTTTTATTACAGCCAAATCTATCGCCCGTTTTCTTCCTATTCTGAAGGACTGAGTGGATTAGATTTGACACAGCTGTGGATTTTCATTCCTCTCTAGGAGGCGGACAGCTGGGAAATAATTGAGGGGCTGAAAATCGGTCAGAGCAACGTCCAGAGGCCCGACAAGCACGAGGGTTTTATGCTGAAGAAGAGGAAATGGCCCCTGAAAGGCTGGCACAAGGTAAGATCCACAGGCGAAAGGAGACACAAAAGCTGCTGGAAAAACACTTTGAAAACACAACCGCCACTCGAATGCTAAACAGTTTGTTGTCTAACAAACTGGAAGAAATTCCCCTTTTTCATGCACCTCACTTCTCCGCCTTGTCTTGCCTCGTTTGCAAGCATACAGGGTATTTCCTAAGAATTTCAGCTGCAGCTTTGCCACAAATAAAACACAGCAGATTCTGATGGAATTAATGTAAAAATCTACAACATTAACAGGTCCGATGTCTGTTTCTGCTGTTATTCACAGATACGTTATTTATTGTGGTTATTTTTCTCCGCAGCGCTTTTTTGTTCTGGACAACGGTATCCTGAAGTACTCCAAGTCCCCCATTGATGTAAGTAACCCTGACTATCACCCACAGGCACAAACGGGGCAGCCTGGCCCTGACGTCAGCTCGCTTTGGCAATGAGTCAGCAGAAACATCTGCAACGCGGGTCACGATGTTCGGTGCGTTTTTCGGCACGACACGTCACTTTGCAGGGAAACTGAAACGTCACCGACAAAATGAGAATGTAACAGAACACATGACGAAGCATGAAATCTGCACACCCTGGAGGAACTTGTGCTGTCTTTGTTAACAGTGTTGCAGCACTCAGACTTTAACTGTTGCGTGTAGGTTCATCTTCAGTGTTGATTTATTTAGTTTTTCTCTTGATTGAACTAATCAAGAGAGAAAAATGCTGAACTGACAAGGATGACTCCTATAACCCAAGGAGGTATTTTAACCTCACTTTTGTCTGAGCAAAAGTTCAAATTGGTTCTGCTTAGAGTGGCAGATTGTGTATTTTTTAATTTTGTTACTATTAGTGATCTCTCTGAACCTTTTCTCTAACAGACAGATATTTATGTGCTCTCTACATCAATATCAACTCAGTTAGAACTTTTTGGGCAACATACATTCAAGTGTGAAAAACATTCGAGCCAAGCGGGGGAAATGACACCTGTTGCCTGCGATCGGTTGCATCGGTGTGACCTTGAAACCCCGATGTGTGATTCCACCACAAACGCCACATCTCGTGGTGATTGGACCGGCGTGAAACCGAGGCAGCATCAGACAGTCGGTCTGCGTTAATTTTCCGACCCAGATGTGTTCTTACGACTACGTTTACACTGACTCTAGAAACTAGAGGAGGCAAGACACATTCTTCACATGCTGACGGCAAATTCTCTGGTGTGATGCTGAACTCTGCAGCAACAACGCAATTCAACGCTGTCTCCAGCAGCTAATGCCGCCATGACGATGATGTCAGCGATAGGGAAAGAGCTGTCCTCCTCCTAAATGCACAACCATCTTTGACCCGTTGACTCCCTGCCAATGCCAATGTAGTATAATGTAATATTCATGATGTGGTTTGTAGTTTTGTTTTAAATTAATATTTTAATACATTTTATATTATTATCATTTTTTATGTCTTTATATTAAATACTCAGTGAGCTTTTGAATTGTCCCTAGGGGATAATAAAGTTATTTAAATTGAATTGAATTGAATTGAACTGAATTGAACTGAATTGACAGAAGCCACATCATAACCACGTTCATCAGAGTACAGGATCGCTTCAGCTACAGTTTATTGAGCACTAGAAAATCTATAGATCTGAAGCTAGAAACACTTCATGACTGTTTTTGGAACATGAGGTACAAGCTGGGTCTGGACTACGAGAAGCGATTGTCCATACAACATGTGTTAGAGCCGACTGAAGTTGGTGGGAAAGCACATCCTGGACAGTCAGCCTTTTGTAGCTGTTGTGGCTATTTGGTTATCGTGACTTTAAATATACTAAAGGATCAGAACTTCAGTCATCCTCAAATTTATTCATACCCTCCCATTAAAGAAGGGGAAAAAAAACAGCTGTCACTGACATAAGTTGAAATTGACAAAAAATAATAATAAATAAAATTTTATGAAAATCATGACTTTGATTTTGAATTGTGGTTCAACAGAAATATTAAAAAACAAACAAAAAACAAGCAAACAAGCATGACGAATATTTTCTGCACCTGTTGACAGCTTTTTTAAAAAAAAATTTAATTATTCTTTCCGACCACAATTCAAAGCAATGTCTTATTTCACCAAATTATAATTTAGCAAATTTTTATTTATTATTATTTTTTTCAGTTTCTAGTTATTTGAGTGACTATTGTGAATTTTGCCTTTTCTTTAATGGAACTACATTTGAGGACGACTGTACATAATTTTGTGGTCTTATTGAAGCTGATTTTCTTCGTAGCAGGTTTTCACATGTGAGGAATTCGATGTGGTTTTTTGGTGCGTAACAGTAAAAGCTGACAAGAAGAGAATTTTTAAAGAAGGATAAAAAGATTTAAAATGAAAGCCAGTGTTGCAAGTCAATAGACAGTAAGTGTTCCAAAACAAGACAAGATATATATATTTTCACATGTTCATATCTCTGCAGAGTAGCTGCCCTAGAATAAAACAATATTTCTACCTCCAGTACCTTGTGTACAGGCATCACAAACCAGCTGCCAACTCATTCATTCAGCAGTTTGGCTAAACAGGTTTTACCAGATGACGTTCTGAGGGCTAAAGCACAAGCAATCAATCGGTTGGGAGATTCTCCAATTTCTTCAGGCGTAGAAATGTGAAATAACTTTAAAGTAGAATAACATAAGAAAAAATTATATTTATACACAAGTCAGAAATGTGCGTCTCTCATTTCCCCTCAGATCCAAAAAGGAAAACTTCACGGCAGCATCGACGTCGGCCTCTCCGTCATGTCCATCAAAAAGAGGGCCCGTCGCATCGACCTGGACACTGAGGAGCACATCTATCACCTGAAGGTAACGCTGGTGACGGGTTAATATTTCAGCGTCGACAAACGGGAGGCCGGCGGATGACAGCGGTCATAGCTCTCTGTCCTCCTCCTCTTCAGGTCAAATCTCAAGACATCTTTGACGCCTGGGTGTCAAAGCTGCGTCATCACCGGCTTTATCGACAGAACGAGATTGTGCGATCCCCCCGGGAGGCCACCATGAGGACGTTTCCTCCCTCGGCTGCCATGGAGTCCCCCCAACCCGCCCCGAGTGTGGTCAGTGAAGTCAAGGTGGGATCCCCTCTTCATGTTTACGCAAAGAAAACGTCTCATTCCCAATTGGCTTTTACATAGTTTGTCATATATGTAACGCAATTTTCAGACTATTGAGTGCACCTGAATACAACCCACTAACTTTAAAAAGAAAAAACTATTTGTCGGGCGCCCGTATAGCTCACCTGGTTGAGCGGGCGACCCATAAACAGGGGCTACAGTCCCCGACGCAGCGGTTGTGAGTTCGAATCCCGCTCACGACCCTTTGCTGCAGGTCTCTCCCTCACTCTTCTCCCCCCTTTCCTGTCTCTCTCCACTGCTCTACATAAAGGCAAAAGCCCAAAAAAATATATATAAAAAAAAAAGAAAAAACTATTTGTACATATACAGGCCACACTTGTCTGTAAGCCACAGGTGTCCACGTTGTAACATGAGATACTTACACAGACAGATTTTTTAAAACTTTTAATTAAATACGTACCGGTAACATACACAAATACGTACTGTAAATGCTTTTTTCCGAACAGTGCCTGTAACATGGCTGGTGAAAAAAATAAAGAATTCAGTAGCCACCCAGGAAAAGTCATTGATTGCTATCTTCATCTTCTTCCTGCGCACTGAAACCACTAAAGTCATCTTCTTCAGTGTTGGAACTGAACAGCCTCAGAATCGTCACACACTTCCTCGGTCTCTCTTTCGTTGTCGCTCTCAATGTCACTTTCGCAAATTCGTTCACACTGTACAGAGATCAGCTGAAAATTTGAGTTTGGAGAAAGTTAGTTTGACATTTGGTGAAGATGCTTATTCATTTTCTTGCTGAATCTAACACCTGAGGGTAGCGCCGTCTTCACGCTAGGCTCCAGTTCCTTATTTACTACAAAGGTAATCTCACTCTCAAATAAGCGAATAAAAAATCCTTCCACACAGAGCTAACGCTGGTTTGGACCTGATACTCAAAGAAATCTGAACATTTTTCACGCTTGAACTGTGTTTGAGCCTTGAAAGTAGTCTCTCTCTCTCTGTGGTCTCATCAGTCTGCAATGATTTATTCAAGAAGAGCATGTCACGGCTAATGAGAGATCGCCTAGTTCTGTTTTTACTGGAATCTGGGAGAGCATACCGAAATATCATCCAGAGGAGAGGGAGTAAAATTCACCAGACGTGGCTGGTTTCATCACGCACACACGATAAATCGAAAGTTTTTCGCAATTCTCGTGTGTTGAAGCCACAGTTTGACCTCGAATGAGCTGCAAACTCGCTCCACATCGCTGTTTTCACCTGATACGTCCCCTGTATTATGTCATTAATTGCCGGGCTAATGGATGTGGATTGTAGAGAGATATCAGCCTAATGCAGTAAAGCTGATTGAACAGGTAATTGCCTCCAGACCATTAGGATAACAAAAAAAGAGGGTTGGTTGTCTAGACTGTTTCCAGTTTAGGATGAGCTCAGCTCCCCATCAGTGTGTTTTGAAGTGAGTGTAAAGGTGCAGTCCTACGCGGCTTCTCTTGGGAGTGATGCTTCGTGCCACGTGGAGGCCATTAGAGGTGATCAGTAGGATTTGGATTCTAAGCAGCTGGCTGCAGCCTGATGAGCTCTCCCACAAGTACAGCTCAAATGAAAGACTCCAGTCCTGGAGTCAGAATTAACTGCTGCATCAAAGACTTTGCAGGAAGATAGCCAACATCTCCGGCAAATAAGAACGCTTCGGCACGGCAGCCTTCATCTGTTCTCCTAACAGGACATAATACAACACATTGTTCCTGTCATGTCTGAGTTCAACACGCTGTAAGTCTTTAAAGAGCACATATTTTCCCGCTAAGCTCATTCATGCCGTTACACATTAGCAGAAAGCTGCCAATATCGACCAGCCCGTCACTCTTGGCTGCTGAACAGATCCACTGCAGCTGTTGCAGGTGGGCCATGTGACCTGGTCAAGGACACCAAAGATCCATGTGGAATAAAGGATTCTATCCAACACCACTGATGGGTTTTCTGTACAGAACAGTACAAAAGAATAAAGATACAACAGTGCTGATGAAGGTATTTATGAAGCAAAAGTGCTTTCAGCTTTTTAAATTGAGTATCTGCTGCTTTTCAATATCCATCCATTATCTATACACCACTTAATCGTCAGTAGGGTCATGGGGTGCAACCAAGCAGGCTCACATTCACACCTTTAGAATCACCAATTAACCTCAGCATGTTTTTAGACTGTGGGAGGAAGAAGAAGAACCTGGAGAGAACCCACGCTGCATGGGGAGAACATGGAGACTCCATGCAGAAAGATCCCGATGTCCTAACCAAGCCCCATTTCAATATAATATAAGCAAAACTTCTATACATGGACTTTTACGTTTTACTCGTGAGTGCCTTTAGCACAAATGCACAAAACTAAAATGTGCCCAAACTGCAGGACAGAAACGCCACAAGTGTCACCTGTCACACTGTCTGTGTCCCAACCAAGACAGACTTCTTCATATTTTCCATCTGACTGATGTATTTACTCAATAAGCATTGTCTGTTTTTCTTTTCTTCCCTGTCAAATATATTATTCATCTTGCAATTTAGATATGAATTGATGCATTCAGGAAAAATCCTGAAGACCAGTTTCCACATGAGTGTGATTAATCTAACTTTAGATGTGCTCTGTCTTTCCTCTGGTTCTTTTTGAAACCCTAGCTGGAACCAAAACGATTTCTCCATTAATCAAAAACATCATTTAAATCTTAGTGGCAGCCCTAATTCAGAATATTCATCCACTGTCGCTGCCACTTCAATAACTTCAAGCATCAGTATCATCAATCAACCTGTTGGACTTCTTCTAACAAGCACGCCACCATCGATTCTGACATGACGTTTCAGGCCAAACAGCCAAACCTCTGACTCTGTGCGTTGTCTCGTCACCTCAGCAGGCCAAGCCGAGCAGCCTGCCGTGGCAGCCGGCGGCCCCCAGCAGCAGCAGCAACAGCAGCCTTCCTGCCTCCTACAGCAACGGACAGAGCAAGGTGGTCGCTTGGCTGCAGGAATCAGAGGAGATGGACAAGTGCGCCGAGGGTAAGCGCAATTTTCCTCGCGATTCCGGGAGCAAATCTGATTTGACAAAAAAAGAGTGGATTAAACCGAGCCTTTCGGCCTCACCGTAAATCCCTGAGAGGTGGATATGTGACTATTCCGTGACACGTAATGCCGAATCTGTTTTTGAGCTCGTGGGTGTAAATTTTTTTTTATTTCTTTTTTTTTTATTTTCAGAGCTCGCACGCTGCCAGTCCAACTTGACCGAGCTTAGCCGGTTATTGCAGAGTCTGGAGATTCTACAAAGGACACAGTCAGCGCCCAATTTCACAGATATGCAGGTAAAACACACACACACACACACACACATACGAACACACTGATATGTTTGCACAAAATGGAAACACACACACACACAAATGCACGCAGGTACAACAGAGAACAGAGGAAGCAATTTAGTGTTTCATTTAAAGATTTCTTTCTACGCTGTTCTCTGCTGCTTTGTGTAATGTGTGTGTGAGTGTGTGTGTGTGTGTGTGTGTGTGTGTAGCTGAGGATGACTCAGGTAGTGATGGAGGTGTTTGAGTCTAAAAAAAGGGGCTTTTAAAACCCTCAGCAGTCACCTTCACAGCCCGTCTGCTCCCACAGGATTCAGTGATGCTCACCAAACACCCGCTGCTTCTCTAACTGATTGATATCTATTGATTTACCGTTTCATTTTGTATTATAGTTTTTTGGCTGAAATGCATTTTTAACACCACACATTTCTTTCTTTTTTTGTTTGCAATCCATATGTAGGAGTGTTGCTCTTTTTTTTTTTTTTTGGTCATTTCACTGCAATTTATGTCTTAACCTTTGCTTCTTTTTTTTTTTGTATCGTTTGTCCTATTAACCGCACTTTGCACATTTCGATCCACGCGTGCCACAAAGACCAATTGTTCAGAATTGTCAAAGAAAGAAAAGCGCTTGAACAGAAGATGGAGAACAAAAAGTGTCGGCAAAGACGCAAAATTCCAGCTTCAGGTACCTCACTTCAGATCTTCACTCTGTCACTTACAACACACACAGACAGGTATTAGGCTGCACATGTTCCTTGTGATTCAAATCTTTCCTGGAAGAATGTAACGCTACAGCTCAAGTCACACATTTTTACAGCAACTAACGATTGTGATTTTCATTTAAAACACACAACATTAAGATGCAAAAGTTGTTGTTTTTTTTGCAGACTGAAAGGTCACAGTTTTGAATCCTGCATGTCTGATCAAAGAGTGAAATATAACATCCACAGCTTTTGAGAAGAAACAACACAAATACACAACTAGAACGCATCTGATTTTGCCTTTTCTGTGCATGTATTAGCGTTGTGCGTTGATGGCTGAATGCTTTTTGCTAATTTCTCTTTATGTTGCATGAACACATTAAGCCACGAAAAGATTAAACGTGCTCACATTTGCTTTTTTACAGTTTGTTAAACGTTCAGGTGTCAGATTAGAGATAGAATAAAGCACCTCGATGGTCGATGTTGTACATTTCTAGCAAGTCAGAGGCTACTGGCCTTACTGTTTGGTTGTGAAAATGTTTCACCGCTGGGCTGCAAAAGGAAACTAATGCAGCCTAAAGGGCAAAAAATTTCCACCAGTTCTTTGAATTGATTTTTATTAGAGCAATTTGCTATTAATTAAGAACTCCTGTGTTCTTGATCTTGGTGATTAAACGGATTTTTGCTCATAGGGAGGATATCAACAGTAGGTGAAGTGTGACTAAGGAGGCGCTTATTATGTTGTGCCATTTTCCTTCAAAATCATTTTCAGGGAACTAATAAAAAAAAAGAAAAGTTAGCGTTCCTCAGTGTGACTTGTCAGAAACAGTGTCAATGGCACAATCATAATGTACTTTCTGAGCTAACTAGTGTACGTCTCGCTGGTTCTGGCTGGCAGACACACAACACACGAGCGTTTTCGTGCCTCTAAGGTGGTCCTCTGTGGATTTCATCTCCCTCCAGGTCCCTCTGTCTGCCAGCATGTCCCCTGTCCGCCTCCACTCATCCAACCCCAACCTGTGTGCAGAGCTGGTGGACTTTCAACCCCCCGCCTCCCGCCTGACAGACAGCGTAGAGTGTGCCAGCGACTACATTAAACTTCAGGAGGAATTCTGCACCATTGCCCAGAAAGGTAAGCAGGCAGCGAGTGTGATGTTCCCAAAAGGATGATTGTGCTGCTTTATCCCAACCTGGATCTTTTTATCGTGTAGCAGCTTTACTCATCGTTCGTCTTGGTTATGATGTCGTCGCATCATTACCGAATTACTTAGATCCTGGAACGAGGCATTGAAAAAGTCATGGGGCAAGAAAACACAAGAGATGATCACCGGCTTTAAGCTCCTGTTTAACCCTCTGAACCCCAAGCGTTTTCTTTTTTTGCTCAATGTGGCCTCATTTTCCTCTACAAAATGAAATCCTGGACCTTTCTGAAAGTAGAAAGAACTCTTTTTTTCTATATAACAAAGTTCAAATGCCATAAATCGTAAAAAAAAAAAAAAAAAAGAAAGAAAGAAAGAAAAAAACAAAAGTTACTTTTTCTTAATTAATAATTGAAGAGAAAAAAAGCAATAAACATGTAAAACATTTTACCTACTGCCCACAGGTGTTACAATATTGTAAATTACAGTTTTTTCTGCATACTATAGATGTTTTACGAGTTAGATTTTTAATTTCTTTCCGTACTTGTCTCCTATCTGCTCTGCGTAAACACTGCCTGCAGTTCAGCCCAGAGTCAAAAAGTCGGACTACAAATTAAACATTGTTTTTATTAAATATCACGATTTTATTGCCGCCGCTTTAGCTCACCTGGTTGAGCTGGTGACCCATGTACAGGGATTATAGTCTGATGCAGTGGCCATGGGTATGAATCCTGCTCATGGCCCTTTGCTGCAACCCCTTCCCACATTCTCCTCCCCCACTTTCCTTTCTCTCTTTCAACTGTCCTGTCTAATAAAGGCAAACAAATAACTTTTAAAAAATCATGATTTTAGTGTCATTTAAAGCATTGTTTTTCTGATGTAACAGCACTTCACAGATTAGTTCAAGGACCACTGAAAAGTTAGAATGATTCACTCTGCTTGAACAGTTTCTGTCTGATAAATGTCATCATTTTGGAGATTTTTTATTTTTTAAAGATGACATATCTTTTCAACATGTTGAACCTTTTGGGGTTCAGAGGTTTAAAGAGGAAAAGACAAGTAAAGTTTTGAAACAAACTCTCTCTTCAATAACCATGTAAAGGTAGATTTAAACCCACTTTTTCCCTACAGTGAAAGGATTGAAGAAAAAATGAAAAATGAAGACAATCAGATAATGTAGTTCAGCATTTGTCAAGCTGGTTCTGGCAGGCCCTCTTTCAGATGCCGAAAAAATGTTATACCTGCCACCTGATTTTTTAATAAATATAGAGGAAGCAACTAGTTAAACAGGATCCAAACCGAATAGCATCAGCAAACTCGTGTGTATTTCCCCTAAAGAAATTCTATTATTCAGCTTAGTTTTACTCCACATTGATCCTTTGATCAATCAATCAATCAATCCAAACTTTTTTTAATGAGTACTTTTCATACAAAAAAATTGTAGCATATGTGCTGCCGCTGTAGCTCACCTGGTTGACCTGCGACCCATGTACAGGGGCTATTGTCCCCAATGCAGTGGCCATGGGTTCGAATCCCATTCATGGTCCTTTGGTGCAATTTCTTCCCCCACTTTCCTGTCTCTCTCTCTCTCTATTGACTGTCCTATAAAATAAAGGCAAAAAGAACTTTAAAAAGAAAAAAGAAAGTGTAGCACAAAGTGTTTACATTTAGAACATTTGAAAAAACACAGGCCCCCCTCCATCCCCCACCACACTCCGATAGGCCTATACAGACCCACATACACAAACACACACACACACACACACACACACACACACACACACACACACACACACACACACACACACACACACACACACACACACACACACACACACACTCTCACACATACATAAAAGGAAGGAAATAAGGTTGAACACCAACCAGCCAGAGAGGAAACACTACCACAGGAACTATCTGCATCAGGTCGTGGCTGCCACCACTGAGACTCAGTCACAAGCGTGGGCCCCCATACCAACCCAGGCAGGGGAAGAGCCGAGCTCCACCGCCGTGAGGTGACGGTGTGGGCCCCTCGCCCCGCCAGGAAAGGGCGGACCCAAAGCCTGCACCACAAAACCAGAGTCAGCAGCCGCCCCCGATGCAGAGGGCTCCCACTGAGAAAACACTGGGAACCACAGCTAAGAGTGAATAACATAAAATATCTAAAACAAATAGATTAATAAAATGAAATTAAATAAGTAAAATATATGCATTAGATAAAAGTAACAAGGGTGCTAAAAAAGAAATGCAATCTACAATCTGATCATCCACGTGCCCCCTGTTGTGGCTCGATGTGAGTAAACTGGCTGCCAAGACTTGTTTGTTCTTCTTATCACTTATTCATTGCCTTGTTGGACTGATCTTAAGCAATGTCCTGGTGTTAAAAAACAGCTGACTTAGTAAACACATCATGATCATAACTGATAGCAATGACCAAAGCTAAAGTTTAAATAAACTGGAAGTACAATTTGGTTTAATTCCTCAAGAACATTTTCTGAAACAGTTTTACAGTTAGTAAAGTATCTTCAACAATTTAGACATCAATGTTTTAAGAAATGTATTTAGCACAAATGCAAAGAGTTTCAGGAATTGGCTGCCTGTTTTTTTATTTGATTTTATTATACTGTACTATATTTATACTAGGGTCGCTGAAGTCTGTCCTAGCCGACTTAGGGTGGAGACAGGGGACACCCTGGACAGATCACCAGTCTATCACAGGGCTACGCTTAAAGACAGACAACCAAGCACACTCACATTCACACCTATGGAGGGAGGAAGCCGGAGAACCTAGAGAGAACCCACGCTGCACGGGGAGAACATGCAAACTCCACACAGAAAGATCCCGGGTGTCCTCACCAGGACGCGAACCGGCAACCTTGTAGCTCACTTTAAAATTTTACAGGAAGTATTTTTTATTATTTACAGACATTCTGTAGACAAAACAGTTACAAATAAAACTTTGTAGAGCAATATGTGCAACCCTGGTTATGCCATTCTTCCACCAGCCTCCTATGTAGAACCTGTAGAGAGAAACTCCTCCTCTGTGATGCTCATGTGTCGCATGTAAACTGGATGTACCATCAGGCTGTTCTATCACACCATCACCCCATGAGCCCAGAATATTTTCTGTGTTAAAATTTACTGTAAACAGCAAACATGTTGACTAATATGGCTGAAAACTGTTCATCTGTCATGTTTAAATCGTTGTGGTCAGCCTGCCTGTATGTCTTTTTAAGGATACTCAGAAATGCTTTAAACGTAGATTTTGGGTTTGAACTTACACGCCAGAAATTCGTACTGTTTTTGGAAAATGAAAAGCAAAAGCGAGAGTTTCACACACAGTTCACAAAGCAGCCGAAGAAGACTTTGATCTGGTAAAAGGATCAGAAGGTTACAGGTTTTTCTTCTTTTGTCCTGTCTCTCCTCAGTGCACTCGCTGCTGAAGTCGGCCTTCAACACTGTGGCCATAGAGAAAGAAAAGATCAAACAGATCCTGTCTGACCAGGAACAGTCGGACCAGTCAGCCCAGATCAACTCTCTCAGGAAGTCTCTGTCGCAGGTAATGAGCTGCCTTCAACCATTACTATCCTCCTACTATTAGTTTGAATGAGTTCATCTGAACTGTTTTCCAGACTGTTTCCTTATTATAACTCCTAATGATGATGTCTCAACATGTAATAACTGAAGTGATCGGGACATTACAGCTAGCTAGTTTGACCCATCTGTCTTTGGTGTCTTTACGCCCGTTTTGTCTCTGTCATGTTTGACGACTGGCTCACGAGGACGAGCTGTCAGATAAAACACACGAGCTGCAGTTTATCCAAAGCAGGCACAGTAATCACAATTAGAAAAAAGATGATGTGTGGAGATGAGAGCAGCGGCAAGTGAGTCGTGAAAGTCCAATCATCTTTACCCATATTAATTGGCGAGAGAGAGAGAAGTCTGCAGTGCAGTTCATTAACTCTGCTCCTTAGGGCTGTCTCTCTACCCCAGTGATTTAATTGGACTGTTCCTTTGCAAACAGTTGACATCATTTTAGTGAAATGTTTCACTTGCTGCTTTATCTCCGTTTTGTTCCTAATTGGATGCTTGTGTGACACGGTTGTCACGGGCTGGAGGTCAGGTCTCACGGCTGAAGCTCTGTGGGACGGTGATAAGCAGGAAGTTGCGGTTGCTATAGCGACAGCTGCTGATTTCAACTATTTTAATTCCTGCAGGATATTAATGAGGGACATTTCTGTCTTAATTTTGTGTGTTTTATATTTAAAGATCTGTACTGTACATACCTAAACTTACATTTGCTTACAACCTACTGATCATATGGCAAACTTTTCGGCAAACAGATCTAGAGCTGTGTTTCCAGTCACCTGTTGAATCCTGTATTCAGCTTCTTTTAGCTCTGTTTTTGATCACTACAAGCTGCTGAGGAAAATATTTGTCTCTTCAGCGGCTGAATGCTCCACCAGCTTCCTTTGACTTTCTTCCCTTCTGGGGCCGGGCAGTGGATTTGTCACGTATTTTGCAGCTGTTTGTTGCAGATGAAAAAAGAATTAGAGCAGAGAGAGTGAACCAAAACAGAAAAGACATGGGCCTGAAAATGAAGGCAGTGAGCTGAAACATGCTGAACAGCTCCACAGTGCCTCAGGGAACTGCAGAGTGCAGTGAATCTCAGTGGGCTCACTAGCGGTGACCTTTATCGCATAGTCAAAATATTGATCAGAGCTGCTTTAACTCTGTGAGTCCCAAAATCTGCCCAACGCTTCATCTGTGATGTGCCGAAACCTCATCAAGCTTACCTGAGTTTGATATTGGGACATCTTATTAATTTATTCTACATTAACAGTTAAAATAAACAGATGGCATGAACCAGATTTAGCAAAATACTAAAAGTGTGCCACTCCTCACACAGCATGACTCACTCAGATACAACCGACAGTCATGGGACAAAAAATCAGGGACTTTTTGGAATAAATGAGCTGAACTGGAGGCTGTGTTTACTCAGAGCAGATAAGAGACAAATTAAAAATATAAGTAGTAAAGTATATTTAGTATGTCGTCACCATCTTTTTAAGTACTGGTTACACCTGTGGGCACTGTGGAAAAATGTTGTTGATTCCAGGTTTGTAAAATAAGTAATCAAGGAAATTCAGTATAGCTTTCTTATAGAAGCCCATTTGTGAGTTCTCTCTACTTTTAGCCATGGTTGTGCTGTTTCTATAGATGTGCAAGACTTTATTTTGTGCTAAAAAGGAGCCTACAGTAAGTAAAACTCAGAACAGGCCAAAGAAGCTGATAGTGTACTGACATAGTGTACATGACACTTTAGAATTGTGAATTTATTCAGTCATGTTACAATACAAAAAAACATAGACAATTCATACAGTACAAACAAGATAGTGACTGAAATGGCATAGGCGGAGGCAAAATGCTTAGATAGAGAAAGAAGAAGAAGAAAGAGAGAAGAAACTCCACCAATACAGTCCAGTCCCTGCCCTCCATCCAGGAACTGTGCTCCAGTAGAACCAGGAAGAGGGCAGGGAACATCATCGCAGACCCCACTCATCCTGGTCATAAACTGTTCTCCCTCCTCCCCTCCGGCAGGCGAAACTGAGTCCTGTATACAAAAACTACCAGACATAAGAACAGCTTTTATCCCATTGTCATGACTGTACTGAACAGCTGAGCCATTCTCAGCCATAACACTGCACACTACCGACATTGTTATTTGCACTGCCATTTTCTGCATATATCATTGCATCATTATGAACCATTCTTTCGAAGCTCAAGAGCGAATTATACAATCTTATGTTTATATTAGCATTATTCCATGATTTGACCCCAACAATAGAAATATATCTCCTCCTTTTAATTCCTTTTTTTTTTGCAAATCATATCATTTTTGCAAATTTTCCAATCATATTCAGACTCCTGTAATGAAACACACTTTTTTCACTTTCATTTTTTCCCCCCTGTTATTCAGGCCCTGTCCCAAAATGCAGAACTTCGAACTCGACTCAACCGCATCCACTCTGAGTCTGTCCTGACGGAACAAGTTGTCAGCGTGAACATCATCTCCACGCCTGATGAGGTAGGCCACAGTTGTCAGGCTGTCACTAATTTCTCATTGTGATATTGATAAAAGTACAGGTTCCAAGGCTGGCCAGGTAGTTCTAGTGTTTGCTTCCTGCATTCGTCAGTTGCCTTATTGATCCCTGTCCTTATAGATTGATGATCTTTCCAGTACAGTCTGGCACGTAAGCTTAAAGGATCATTATTCTATGCAGAACCTGACATCAAGGTTAATGGAAAAAATGACTAATTAGAAACGGATGGGAGCGTGCCCTTTGGCAAGGATACACATGCTGTAATATGAACTCTGTATTGTCTTGTGCTGTTTGTGTTTGTTCAGGCCCACTTTGGTTCTTAAAGCTGTCATCGTGGCAAGAAGCAGTGAGCGTCTTCTGTTTGCTTGTGTTTGCCTGCAGGCCGTGGAACAGATGGGGATCCCTCTGACTCAGCAGGCCTCTAATGAGAGCCGACTCTCCATGTCAGAGTCTGTCTCGGAGTTCTTTGATGCCCAGGAAGTGCTTCTGTCAGCCAGCTCGTCAGAGAATGAGGTATAACGTTGGGAGTGGGGGGGCGATCGAGGCTTAAAGAGAGGAGCGGTTTGTTGTTCAGTTGGATCGAGGAGGGGGTTAAAAAACAAAAACAGAGAGAAATGTCAGCGCGATGTCCGTGCGCGGAGCTGCAGTTAGTCAGCACTTAATGAGGGCATCGTGGAAAGCAGAGATAGCACATAACAGAAAGTGGAGCACACAAACCAGAGGGCTGCTTTTGAATCTGCCCCGAGGCCTTAATCCCTCAGTCGTGTCTCCGAATCATAGCAGTTTTTGTCAGCTTTGTCTTTTAAAAAAAAACAAAAAAAACAGGCAGTTTGGTGGATGATTTGAAACAACCTCTTCTCCCCTTTTAACTGCTGTGAACACCCTGTTCCAAATCCACTGCGTTCGGTCTCTGAGGAGCCCTTAAGCATTGTAGCTCCCCAGGCATGCATTGAGCCATGTTGAAGGATTACTCACCAAGGAAAATTCATCAACCCCCCCCTCGTCCTCCGTGGCTCCAACGGTCGGCCTATTCAGACCCTGTCAGCCAGAACCTTCACCAGCAGCAGGTGACTGTAACCAAGGCTTTTTACAGAAAGTGGACACAATACGCTCCTCTCTGATGGCGTCAATGGCCTCATTGCGTTTGCTATATATAAACTATGAAAATGCTGCAGTGTCTCGTCTCATGATTACTGCAGTGGGACAGATAGCCGGCGACTGCTGTAGTTTGTTAGCCACTGGCGAACCGCAGCGTCTTAAGTCCGTCTGCTGATCAGTTTTTTGTTTTTTTTTGTTCTGTGCGCTGACTGACTGACTGACTGTGTACCTGTACCCCTTCCCAGGGCTCAGACGATGAGTCATACGTGAGCGATGTGAGCGATAACATTTCCGAGGACAACGCCAGTGTGACTGATAACGTCTCCAGACAAAGTAGGTCCAATTCTGCACCATCACGACCGTCTTATGGCCTCTGCTAGGAAAGGAGGGAGAAATTAATAAAGCAGGGAGGTAGGGAGGGAGGAGGGGGGGTTCCCACTCAGTGGCCTCCTCACAGTCGCACACAAAGACACACAGTTGTACCGGCAAACTCATTTGTCACTGTTGCAGAGGCAGTTGACTTTGCAGTGTTGCTCTGTGCCAAGGGCTGCTCTCCAGCTTTATGAAATCTGTCTGCGTAAGGAGGGATGGGATCTCCCCGCTCCAGCTTCGTCACATACCACACACAGGGAGAGAGTTCACTACATCGTGAAAATACTCTCACTCTGTATTTCAACAAGAGCGCGGATTATTAATATTATTTCAAGGTGACTGATATAAATCAAGATGGCATGAGAAGTAAATGAAAGAAAGCAGGAGGAATTTGGTCTACTATGTATTTTTGTCAATGTCATTTCAATATATTTAATGTTGCACGCCTCAAATCTACAACAACACACTGATGTGTCTCAGTGGGTTTATAGTCAGATTGTCAATATCAAATATAGTGTGAACTAAAAGAAAAGACAAAATTCAGTTTAGAAGCACCACTGTGCCATTAAATAATCCAGGCCAGACTAACCAGAGCTAACAGGTGCAACCACAAAGACTCACAGTCAGACTGATTTTAACATCTAATAATTAGGTACTTTAGGGTTGTTTGTTTGCTATATTTCTAACTTTTTCTTCCTACGCAAGCCTGTTTTTACTAGTTTTTTAAAAATATTTTTTTTCTCTTCTAGTTTCCACCCTTCCTGTCGCTCCCCTTGTCACTAGATTTCAAATAGTCGTCCTCAAATGTATTCAGACTCTCCCATTAAAGAAGGAAAATACAACTGTCAATGAGATGAGTTGAAATTAACAAAAGTAATAATAAATGAAAATTTCATGAAAATCACCACATTGATTTTGAATTGTGGCTCAACAGAAATATTTTTTTAAAAATCAAGCAAACAAGCATGATGGGACCCGTAAACTAATATTTAGCTGAACAACCCTTTGAGCCAATCACCATGCAGTCAAGAGTTTTCTGTAACTCTCAATCAGACTTCTGAATCTGTTGACAGGGATTTAGATTTCACTGCTCATCAGCAAAGTGCTCTAATTTGTCCAGGACAGTTTTTTTTTTTTTTTTCAACCACAATTCAAAGCAATGTTGTATTTCACTTAATTATAATCCAGCAAATTTTTATTTATTATTACTTTTTTCAGTTTCTAGTTATTTGAGTGACTATTGTGAATTTTGCCTTTTCTTTAATGGAAGGGTATGAATACATTATGAGGATGACTGTGCACAGTTTTGTAATGTTGTAATGTGCTGCCATGACTTTATCACCTCTGTAAATTCATAAGAATATCTTTCCATGACTATTTCTGATAACTTTAAACAAGATGAATGTTGTAATTTTGAGGTGATACAGTGAATTGTTGTTTGTTTTTTTTGTCAGTGGCCAACGGAGACTTTGCTGGCTGCGCCTTCCGTAACGGGCGACGCATCTGCCTGGCGGCGCCCTGTCCGGACACCAGCAACATCAACCTCTGGAACATCTTGAGGAACAACATCGGCAAGGACCTGTCCAAAGTGTCCATGCCAGTGGAGCTCAACGAGCCCCTCAACACCCTGCAGCGTATGTGCGAAGAGCTGGAGTACAGCGAGCTGCTGGACAAAGCTGCTGAGACCGAGGATCCTTTTGAGCGCATGGTAAATAAAGCAGCCGCCGGTTACAAGCAAGCTCCATGTCAAATCGCATCCTAATCACTTTAGGACACGGCGACCCCTTCACTGCAGCTTTTCTGCTACACGGTGCAGCTGAGGATTCTCTCACACACACATGCTAAATTCCTTCTAAATCTTTGTGCCCCTCATTTACTTGGCGATGCATGAGGTCAACATAAACAGCCTCGGACCGAGACGCGTGTCTGTGAGGGGCTCCAACGCTCGGATGCAGCTGTCGACCTTGGACGCTGCTCTTCTTATCCGTCTTCTGTCCTTCTCATAGCGTTGGACGCATACTAATGTTTGGCTTACTCGTGACGAAGCCTGTTATTATGCTAATCCTCTGATGTTTACATTGTTTTGACTCTCTGACAGGTTCTCGTCGCCGCTTTTGCTGTCTCAGGCTACTCATCCACTTACTACAGAGCAGGAAGCAAGCCATTCAACCCGCTGCTCGGAGAGACTTACGAATGTATCCGGGAAGACAAGGGCTTCTGTTTTTTCTCAGAGCAGGTAAATCCATGCAGAGATAGCAGGCAATGGGTTCGTTTTAAACAGGAGTGGTATCTTGGATCTTTACAGCCATGTTTCGACTGTCTGAGATAATGATAAGCTCTTGTGTACCTCTTTGGACTACACACTGTTGGCTTAAAACAAGATTATCTGTACTTGCAGCCTCTCAGAATATGCTGCATAGATCTACTAGTTGTTTAATCTCCCCCAAAACAGTTAAATCATTGAAGAAGTTACCAAAAAAAAGCAAAGATTAAAGAAAAATCTGAAAAATTAGAATAAAATTCGGTAGCATAATGCCTGTAGCATGTGTTTTTCTGTGATGTCACACACCACAACCTCTCAATTTTGTCCCAGCTTGGATCCACAGGAATAAAACATCAGCTTTTTTTGATCATTTAAATAATTGTTTAGTTTATAAAAATGTAAAAATGGTGAAAACTTGCCTCTATTTCATTACAATGATTTCTTGGAGCCCAAAGTGAAACATAAATATCGCTTTTCTGCTCAGTCAGCAGCCTAAAACCAGAAAGAATTTCTATTATCAGGGCGGCTGTGGCTCAGGTGGTAGAGCAAGTCGGTCAATGATCGGAAGGTTGGCGGTTCGATTCTGCCCTGTAACCTGTGTCATGGTCCTTGTGTCCTTAGGCAAGACACTTCACCCACCTTGCCTTGTGTGAACGCGTTTGAATGGATTGTTTGCGGTGGTGGTTGGCCTCTGTCAGCTGTGACTACAATAGTAGCTTCCACCACCGCAATGACTGTGTGTGAATGAATAATTGACAGTGTCTAGAAAAGCGCTATATAAATTTGATCAATTATTATTAATTATCTTTTGAATTGTCACCATGAATTATGGAGAAAACCTCCACGCAGCGACTTATCAGTTATTTAAAGTCGGCGCTGTATACGATGTGTAATCTGAACAACAACATCTGTCACACTGTTTCTATTTGATGTTTTCTCAAAGGTGAGCCACCATCCTCCCATCTCCGCCTGCCACTGTGAGTCTAAGAACTTCACCTTCTGGCAAGGTAGGTTACCTGTCTAATTAGGGAGAGATTTCCCTCATGGGAGGCTACAGCTTAGCATATATGAGCCAGTTAGCCTCTTTAATAACCAGCAGAATTTTTTAGAGAGCGAAAATCAGATTCCGTTGAGAGAAAGTGCAAAAAAAAAATGGAAATTATGTGGTTAATGTTTTACTGTTTTTGCTTTTTAGATGTGAGATGGAAAAACAAGTTTTGGGGGAAATCAATGGAGATTTTACCAATTGGAACCGTAAATCTTATGATTCCCAGGTAACTTTCACACACACACACACACACACACACGCTTTGCATAGCTACTGACCCTGAAGCCACAGGTTTCATTCCAGCAATCAGGGCGTTAAATTATCTCCTGATGCCGCGTTCGTGTCGCAGGGGTTATCTTAATTAACAGCATTGCCGCTTTTAATTGTGTTCATGTCAACATCCAGATTCTAATTAGGACTGAAATAATTTTTTTCTGAAAAACACAAGACTCAGTAGTTCTAAAAAAAAAAAAAACACTTGAAACACTAGCAACAATTATTTTAGCAGTGTCGTGACAGCGCTTAGTAACACGCAAGCACCCCAAAACCAAATACAGATGCCAGTAAGTCTGTCACTCAAGATAATGAAAGTAAAAGTTAATGGATTCTGTCTTACATGGTCACAAACAGCCTCATGTTTACACAGTGCATCAGAGAAATCTCAAAGATTCTCTGTTAATTAAAAAAAAAAATGGGGAAAAATAAAACCCATTTCACAACATTGTCTACTTCTGTATGGACTTTCAGGACAGAACTTTGAAATGTACATTATGTCTGTTTGTTAATGTCCCTCTCTGGGAATTGATTTAACCCCTAAAAACTCATCTTTCTGATCAGATCCACAAATTTTGAAGTTTTTTTTTTGAAAATAAGTCCATTATGCCTTAAAATGGCTGAGATGTAACTCGGCACCATTGCTTCCTGCAGACGTATGAAGTCCTACTCTACCTAAATGATGCCGAGTTGTGATATTGAAATATTTCAGCTGCGCATGGAGGAACCGCAAACCAATTATAAAGAAAAATAAGGATACAAACGTTTAAAATGGATTGAATTGGGTCTCTAGGTTTGCTACGTTTCTGTTTTTGACACCATCATCACTAATCTACGCAGTTTTAAGGTGGAAATGCTCAGCCGTGGCTCCGACTGCTTATTTAACTCATCATGTCACATCCTCTAGCATTTAGCTTTCTAAACCCCAAAGACATGTTGTCTTTTAAAAATCACTAAAAGTACACTATTTAACAAAACCAGAAACTGTAAAGACATCAAAATTTGTCAAGTACAATTCTTTATTTTAACTGCTTACCCTTCGGAAAACCAGATCTAAGTTTAAAATGTGGACATTTTGTCAAATTCAGTATATTCTACATGTCTTGTGCAAAAACCTGACATAAATTAACAGTTTGCTCTGAACAGATTCTTTTAAAAAATGAAAGTTTTTTGGTCTTTGGCATAACCAAGAAGTTATTCATGACTCAGATGAACTGCAGGCTGTGCTTACACAGAGCAGAAAGGAGACAATAATGGAAAAAAGTAAAAAATGTAAATAGTGAAAGTATCTCTAGTATGTAGTTGCCACTTTTCAATATTGGTAACAACTGGGGACACTGTAGATATTGATTGCAGCTTTTTCTTCCAGTTATTTTTGGAAATAATCATAGAAATTTGACTTTAGTTTTGTCTGTTTTGCTTATTTTTTTTCTTGATTTATGGCTTTATAACTGTACGGTAAAATGTGACTGTAGCTAAAAATGCCCAGAAACTACTTGAGATAAAGAGGGTTAAAAAAAAAATCACCATATGGACATTTCAAAGAAGGCAAAAAACTCAGTTTTCCCTGGAGGGGATCTTTAACAGTCTGACATTTTTGCCTGTATTTCCGTGGACTGATCTGTAAAACCTTGACATTTCCTCTCTTTACAATAAGTTTGTGTTCCGTCATAATGTCCTTTAGAGAGACACCAAGGTCTCGCGTGCTGCCTCATGGTGAATACAAATGTTCATGGGCTCATGTGGTTCAGAGGAATCTATAAGGAGTTCCAACCCACAAATGATGCCCTTGATCGGGAGGTTCGGGGAGGAGCGCAAGGCCTATTTTTGTCCCACAAAATCATTTACACATGAATGCTGAAAATCTGAGACTTTTTAATAAGCTGCCAAATCAAACTAGTTCACTGAGGTGTCACAGAGAACAGAGTGTAGCTGCGCACTCGTGTCTCGCTTTTATCCGCTGGGCTGACGTCCGTTTTTGTGCCTCGCTAGGTTTGGAGATCACTATGAATGGAACAAAGTCACCACCTGCGTACACAACATCCTCAGCGGCCGACGGTGGATCGAACACTACGGGGAGATCACCATCAGAAACACCAAGAGCAGCGCTTGCCTCTGCAAACTCACTTTCGTCAAGGTGAAAACACAACGTGATTTAAACACAAAGCTGTCATTCGTACCTATGAGTGACCTTTAAAACAATTACCAAACTGACATACATATACGCTAACACTACATTTATGTCTTTTAGGGAAACTACTGGAGTTCGAATGTTAATGAGGTTCAAGGATTTGTGATGGACCAAGAAGGGAAAGTGATCCACAGGCTTTTTGGAAAATGGCACGAGGGCCTTTACTGTGGCGTCCCACCTTCTGCCAAATGCGTCTGGAGGCCAGGTAGGCGTCAGCGCCTTTCCCACACTCACAGCTGGACTTCACTTAAGAGTTTCTGTACAAATGCTGTCACTAGTCACTCACAGTGGAAGCTTTCCAGTTAAAAAGACTTCACTGGTTTTCTTTGACAGGCTCCATGCCCACAGACTATGAGCTCTACTACGGCTTCACCAGATTCGCCATTGAACTGAACGAGCTTTGCCCCGAGTTGAAAGACGTCTTGCCGCGTACAGATGCCCGATTCAGACCAGATCAAAGGTACAGCGTCCTCACCCATCACTATGACACTTGCTCACATGGTATATTTCTGCACCAACTGTGGAAAACGTGATGCGACTGCAGTGAAGTCACTCTACTGATTATATTGTTTTGGTTGAGCTGTTCTGCATAATAACTGGAATGAATATTTGAGTTTTGTAATGCGTGCGTTGACTGAAACACGCTGCGCAGGCATCTGGAAGAAGGGAACTTGGAGATGGCGTCCTCGGAGAAGCAGCGCATCGAGGACATGCAGAGGGCCAGGAGGAAGTGGAACGAGGAGAACAACATCAAACAGGAGCCGCGTTTCTTCAAGTAAGGACTCAGACAAGCAGCCAGGTGTATTGAAACTCATACAACCTGTTTTTTTTATACCCTTGCTGACATGATGTCTCACGAGCATATCTCAGGAATGTCTTGAGGGTTTTCTTATTTTTTTCAAATTTTACATAAACTTTCACTTGAGCTGAAGAATTAACTGATTAGAATTTGGTGGTCAAAGATCAGAGTGACTTCATTTCCTTCACTGCATACATTATGAGTGTGTACAGATACAGATAGAACTTCACCAGTTAGCGGAGGCATTCTATTTCTCTGTTAGTCTCCCAACTATTTACTAAGCAAAAAGTTAACATCCTGATTGGTTCAGACAGTCCACTAGACATCTCTGAAAAGTGGGAACACATGCATACATTTTTGAGGTGGACACGTCGTGGCCAGACAGAACTAGATTCCCAACTTGATCAGAATCATCCATCCATCCATCCATCCATCATCTATACGCCGCTTAATCCTCACGTGGGTCGCAGGGGGCTGGAGTCTATCCCAGCTGACTTAGGGTGAAGGCAGGGGACACCCTGGACAGGTCACCAGTCTATCACAGGGCTACACTTAGAGACAGACAA